AAAAAATAATCCCTTTAATATTGTTAGTACAGTAGTCAAACATTTTGTTACAATTCAATATCTGGTCATTTATGGGCCTTTGTAGACTTGCATTTGTAGTTAATCGTTTTACAATGCCACCAATACCATCACATGATGACTTACCATGACTTGTAGCAAAAAATGTCCACTCTGCATCAATGTCAAAATCATTTTTATGGAGACAGATGTTGTAAAGGTTTTTGTGGTTTTTATACTGTGCAGCACAACCATCAGAAAAATAAAGAATCTTTGAAATTTTAGGATGATATTCTTTTAAATAGTTAACTATTTGTGTTTGAACTTCATACACAAAACCAGTGTCATGCTCATTATCTTCTGACATGAAACAAAACGATTTTTCTTCAAGTTGGTCATTTTCGTTTAATAAATAGAGGGCAACAGGGTGCAATGTGCATTGACTTTTGCACCAATGGTAACTTTGGATTTCATCTTGAATCACAAAAGTGAAGTTTTCTGCAAAGTCAACTAAGACAATACAGCAGTTTTTTGCTAAATTTTCCTTTTGTTGCTTTAGGTATCTTGATTGACATTTTGCAATGTAGGAATGAGCTGTTAACTTGTTTATTGCCTCTGATAACATCAATTTGTATTCTTCAATAGTTGTTGTCTGATAGATCAATGTCGTTCTGTCTGTTTTCTGCCACTGATTGAATGACACCTCCTCGTCATTGTCATTATCAATTAGTTGTGCATCCAGAAACTTCTTTAAAGAAACCATACCTGGACAGTTCGGACATCGATGAACCATGCACTCGTTACTTGTCACATCACAAACAACTTTTGTCATCATATCTTTGTAAGTACATTTCATTTGTATAGCATTGGTCAAGAGTATTGCATTTTGATGGAGGGTACATACACAAACAGAATGAGTGCCTGATGCTCCAACAGTTATACACCATTTTGGTCTTAAACTGCAAAACTTAGAAAATCCAATAACTTCTTGAGGATATTTAGTTTTAAAGGAAACATAAAGTTCTTTAAGATTACATAAAATAAGACGCTTTTGCATGTGTTGTTTTCTACCAATACTTACGTAATCTTTTTTACCAGGCATTTGTCTAGTAAATTCTTCATCATGGTATATATTGTTGACTCTATTTAATGTTATTTCTGAAAATGTTTTTCCTTTCTTAGTGCCTGGAACTGAAAAAATCCCACTCATTTTCTTTAGTTTGCGCGCTTCTTTAATTTGGTATATAGTGACGTTGAAATATCTTGCAGCAAAATTTCTTGACCAAGACTCGGGTGTAAATGTTAATAACTGAATTTTAGTTTTTTGGTCAGAAACAATTAACTTTTCTTTTATTTCTGCTGTTAGTTTGTCTAAATCATCACATTTACTTTTGTCAATAATTTTCGTATGAGGAATTTTATGCTTCAGTTCTTCTTCCCTAACATTATATACTTCTGAAATATGCTCTTCATACTTTGACATTATTTTTATAACTTTACTTTTAGCAACAGATAGCCGTTGATGCTTTGGAATGCCATGAAGTTTTATGGGGGATACACCTATTGTTTCCAAACTAACATTTAATGCCTCTCGTGACTTTTCAGAAGTAGCACATGAAATAGATTCCTCAAATTCACAATTATCTTGTTCATGAAATTTACTGATTATAGCGTCAAAGCAGCTCCGACAAAGTTGATATCCAGGCACAACATTTGGAAAATTAATTCTCAATTGCTTTGCCATGTCTAATGTTATTACATGACTCCCTGAAAAGAAAAGAACAACTTGATTTTAGTAATTACCTATGAATATGAAAATTATTTGTACTTATTTCCATATACATTGCATAACCAGATCAGCTTTTTTTCAAACTTTTATAAACTAGTAGGTTTTAATTTCATTATTCAAAAAAGATTTTACAATAATTTTTTATCAACAATATTTACCTTTGATTGCTTTTTTTTTTGATTTATGCTTGTCCAATAAATTGCAACATTTTGTGTGCTTCTTTTCAAAGTGTGTACCAAAAATCTTTTCATGATGAAGGCAGATTGTTAAAATTTTATCATCTGTTATTCCAGATCTCCAAATAAATTCTTCTCTGGCATCTTCTCTATAGCAATCAAATTTCTTTAAATCAATCTTTCTACAATAACTTAGTTTATGACAAGTAACATTTAATTTTTTTCCAAAATCACATGAATCCATTCTTACTGTAACACTAAAAACATTTTGATATTTGTTTAAAAATGAGAAACCATTAGTAATTAATTCAATGAAAGCAATCACCATGGTAATACAAAACTAAATAGTGATTGATTTCTTTTATCTTACTTTGACAAAAATAAAGTTTCCTTTTCACAAAGTTTAATTATAACCAATTTGTTAATGTTAAAAATGTTAATGATGACTTTAATAGGTAACAAATTTCTTCTATACTAGTGTAATGACAGGATGTTTTTTGTTACTGTAAACAGTTCTTATTTAATAAAATAACTTGCTGTTAACATTTTAGAATTAGCAAATATCAAATAAAATAATGATTTTGAAAAATTGATAAATTTCTTTTTTATTGATATAATGTTATGACAGGATGTTTTTTTCTGTTAAAAGTTAATTAAACAACTTGCTGTTACCATTTTAGCATTAAAATATATTAATCTTTTTTAAATTAAAATTTTAAATTATACAAAATAAAATTATGGTAAAACCATTATTTTAGACAAAATTCTTATAAACATTAACTTTCTTAAAACATTTTAAGAAAGATCATTGAACATAGAATGATCAAAAACCAAATTGAACAAATATAAATCACAAAAATTTGTGGAAGCAATGTTACCAAAGATATGTTTAACATTGTTAAAAATAAAAATCTAAAAAAAAATTTTGAAGACAATAGTTTCATGTGTTAAAATGTGTTAAAAAAAAAATTTTTTTTTTTTGAGAAAATAAGTGGGGCATGGTCCCTGGTGCCCCAGTCCCATGGACCTTCTAGTCGTCTGACCTAAAACTATTTTAAAGCATGTTCATCAGGACTACACAAATGCTGAAAGTTTCAAAGCTCACGTTTGTCTGGAAGATACTGAAAAATCCATCTCAAGATTCCGGTCAAAAAAGTGGGGCACATCCCCCCAGCCCCCTCCCCTAGTATCTTGGGCCCTTTTTTAATTTTAAAATGCACATTTATTGACACTACATAAATACCAAAATTTTCATCGTTCCAGCTAGTCTGAAAGGTAGTGAAAAATGTATGGCAAGATTCTGCTACAAAATAGTGGGGCCTGTGCCCCGTTAACCATATATGGAAATCCATATACTTGCAGATCAAAATTTTTATGTTTTCTGAAAGATCATTAAACATAGAATAATGTGTACAATTTTTTTTTTTTATATCATCAAGGCCACATGGCTTTCTTGAGCATCAAAACCAGGTATATAAAAAATTGCCTAAATTTATTTAAATTGATAATTACAAGTACTTAAAAATTTTTTTTTACATTTCTGATTATTTCATTGGATTCTTCGACCCTGAAAATAGCCAGGTACAAATTTTTAAGTTAAAAGATCAAATATTTTTAAAGCTATGTGACTTGGAACCTTTAAACAAAGGTCACACTTCTGAGGGGACAAGAGGGGCCTGGCCAAGATCAGTTAAAAGTAAAATGATCATATTTCATGATCCTCTTGGAGCTAGAAGCTAAAATTTTCAAGGATTTTTTGTTTTACTAAGTACTCTCAACTGTATAAAAATCAGCAAAATCTGAGATGTATGGTGACATGGCCTGGCTCAATTGACATGGAATTACTCTACTGGAACATATACAAGTTATTATTTCCACTCTAAACATAATATTTAGCTTTTAATGTAAGAAAATGGAAAAAGTGTATCAACGTGCCTCCCTCTCCCCTACTTAAAAAGTATTCAATTGTGTTTTTTCTATTAAATTTGAATTTCCCGGGGATGAATTTCTCAATCCCAAAATCCCGGGATTGAAAATTTCTGGGATTTTTGCCATTCCTAATTGCAAAGGAGTGTCATACAATACTTATATTGATGTTTTTTTAAACCATTCCAAAATCAGTTATGCATAAAAGTCCATCATATGCATTTAGTCTTAATGAATTAATCATGTTTTCGAAATTTTTTTAGCAGTTTTATTGTTTAAGTTTGAAAATTGTTGCTTTTTTTATGTTGTGTTAGATGACATCAACCATTCTTTTTTACAAGATGTATGCAAACACATAGAACTTACAAAAGCCAAAAAGCTTGTTGTATATTGAGATAATGGTCCAGCTATTAGAGCAGATATATCATTTGTATTTAAATCATTATTTGGAAAGAAATTATCACAATTATTTTTTAAATATTTTGACATATTAAGATTGTTACCTGTTGTATAAATGTTGTACTCTATTTACTTTAGTTTTAAATGGAGCTCATTCTATTATGTTGGTGTCATAATCATGACAATAGTCATAAAGTCTTTGTTTTCAACTTGAATTACTTCCTCTCATTCTCACTCTCATTCTGCATTTTTGTCTCACTTCTTATTTTTAATTATAAAATAATTCTTCTCATTTTAAATTATTTTTATTTTCAAAACTTGAATAAATCAATATAAAAATTGAACTTCATGCATTTTTCTATTGCAAACATTTTTTATATTGTTTTAAAAAATGATATAGAAAAAATCTGTAGCATATTTACTTCCGTTTCTAAATAAAGTTATTAAATGAACATAAAATAGAAAATTTTAGTTATCTTAAATATTATTTAACAAAAAAAAAAAAAAAAATTCTTTTAAATATATATAAAATGAAACCCAAATATCTTTAATGACAAAAAAGGTACATAATTAAAATGAGAAATTCTATAAGAAAAACATCTTTTTTGCTGATCCCTGTAAAAATATCAATAATAATAGTATTAATAATATTACTAGTAACAATAATAGTAATAGTATTAATAATAGTAATAATTGTAATAAATATATTGTAGGGTATCAATGGTAACAGACCTATTATTAATTTATGTGGTTATGCCTTTTCTGGTTCGTATCAAGATTCTCTTGGAACAATGGTTTTGTTTGAAGAAAATATAGATGGTGCTGGAAATAAAGCATTGAAATATGCATCTCATACAACAAAAATTTTAGAAGCTTCTAGAGTATTTTTAAAACCAAATGTTTCATCTGACTCCATGGAAAATAAAAATATTTCTCAACCCAATGACTAGTGAAGTTGAATTTTGTCCTTGTATTTTGTCATTTAGGATTATTATGAATTACTTTATTAAAAGTATATTTAGTTTCTACTTTATATATATATATATATATATATATATATATATATATATATATATATATATATATATATATATATATATATATATATATATATATATATATATATATATATATATATATATATATATATATATATATATTTATATATATGCATGAATCACTATGAATTTATGTCTGCTTATTGTTAATAATGTAAAACAGGCTTTAAAAGTTTAAAAAGATTTAAAAAATTTATATAATTTTTTTAAACTTACAGTATTTATAATATTAATGCAGTTGAACAGTGTTTGTATTATTTGCTCAATGTTTTATGATCTCAAATGTCTCTTCAATCTTTTTTGTAATGTCCGCTTTTAGTAGGTTTATTTTTTAGCTATACAAAGTAATACATACAAGTTAATACTATTTATTATTATTATTAATATATATTTAATATTATATATTATTAATATATAATACATATAATATATAGTTAATATTATATATTATAAATATTAATTTTAGCTATACAAAGTAATACAATACTAGTTAATTTTCAACAATGGCTCATCAATATCTTTATTAAAGTTTCAATCTTATAATTATACTTTGATGTCTCTAAAAAGTGATGTTGTAGTTGTGTTACCAGCTGGAGGATTTGGTCAGAGATTTGGTTCTGATATACCAAAACAGGTATTTTAAAAGTATTTATATAGCAATTTATATAGCGAATTATATAGCGGTTACAAAATCAATTAAATCTGCATTTTTAAGTCAATTTTTGATTATGAAAACTTTAATAATTATGAAAGCTTTAATAATTGGAAATAAAATATTTTTTAATGTAAATGAACTATAGTAAATAGTTTTTATCTTTTAAGTAATATTATTACAAATTTTTAAAGGTAAATTATTCATTTTCTTCATTGCTAAATAAAGAGTTAGTATCTAGCTCATAACTTTTTGATGTAAACATATTTTAATTAATTTTTTTTTTTTAGTTGTGGATTTTTTGTTTATCAACATTACCAACTTTAAGTGTTGATTTTATAAACAAAGTTCACAGAAAAGAAACATTTCATATCATTTTTAGTCAAACTTTGTAAAAAAATTTTATTTATACAATTATAATATAAATATATATATATATATATATATATATATATATATATATATATATATATATATATATATATATATATATATATATATATATATATATATATATAATAATAATAATAATATACTATTTTCATGGTGTATTATTATATATATATATATATATATATATATATATATATATATATATATATATATATATATATATATATATATATATATATATATATATATATATACATACATACATATTAACTGCACCAATTTACTTAATTACCGCAAAACTATTTTAAATCATTAATGTAGAAATGTTATTATTTAAAAATGTTTTGGAATGTTTCTTTTTTTAAAATGTAAAAACATTTGTTTATTTTCTCGACGTTTGACACGTTTTGTCTATACTAAACGAATAAAAAACATTATAACTAAACTTTAAAAAAAGATTATAAAATATGCTAATATTTGATTTTTTTTTTTTTTTCTCAAATATATAATTTTAAGTTTTTCAAATAATTATTTTTTCTTTTTAAAAAGTCAGCGAGTAATAAACTGGAAATTTTAATATTATACAATTAAAAACTGTGCAATAGCTAATATTTTTACTAGCGATTTTGTATAATATTTTTTTATTTTTATTTATTTTCATAAAGCGGTTGATCAGCACAATCACTGGTATTACTAAAAAACTTTAACGAACGTTTTGAATAGATTTTTAATGTTTACAAGGAATTTTATTTTTGGTAAAATAAAATAAAATAAAATGTTAGAATAAAAATCTTATAGGTATAAAAGACATATTTCAGCGAAAAAATTATTCTTAAAAATTATTGTTAAAAATTATTCAAAAAACTATTGACGTTCTATTTTTCAGCAGCTGATCTTGAGCACTTTGTTGAGTTTCGGTAACTTTTAACAAAAAAGAGATTGTTATTATTTAAGTAATTTTTTTCGAGTTATTTTTTACAAAAATAGTAGAATACGTTTTAATATTATTCCTTTTATATTTTTTTTATTTGCGCTTACCAATTTTAAAAATGTTTCCTCGAAATTACTCTTAAATACTTTAAATACCTCTAACAGTTAATGAATATTTTTAAATCTATGGAATAATTTAAAACCTAACAAACCCCCATAAAATAATTATTTAAGTTTAATATCTAAAACTAAAAGAAAGTATTTTTGTTAAATTTTATCGACAACTTTGCTATTGCTGAATAATTTTATTAAAATGTTACCTTGAAAAGATTTAAACTTTTTTTTTTATCTGAATTTTTTCTACTTGTAAATAATGAGCATATTTAATTTTTTTGTAAATCAAACTTTTGTATCAACTGCAAGCGGTTTTTAAAATATTTTATTAAATGTTAAAATAATCGTAAATTACTTCATTAAAATTCAAAAATAAAAGCTCAAAAATATCTTTAAATATACTCAAACAAAAATTTTTTTGCTCGGCGCAAATAGCCCTAGCTACACACAAAATCGCTCTTGGACGACGTAAAATTCACATCGCCTGACGTTTTATCGCAAGGCCTGATATATATATATATATACATATATACATATATATATATATATATATATATATATATATATATATATATATATATATATATATATATATATATATATATATATATATATATATATATATATATATATATATATATATATATATATATATATATATATATATATATATATATATATTAGGGTGTCCCAAAAAACAACATTTTTGAAAATAATCTGCTCCTATCCCCTAAATATGTTCTATCTAATACAAAAACACTAGGTTTAAATTTTTATTGAATAAAAAATATTTTAAGGGGTCCCCCAAAACTGTCGAATATTTAATGGATCCCTAATATTTTCAAATAAAATTTTTTTAAAAAATATGTCAACCTGGTACCCATATAAAGGGAAATTATATAAAAATTTCAAAAATAATATTCATTTCAAAAATATTATTAATACATAATATATATATAATATATAATTAATATTATATATTATAAATAATAATTTTAGCTATACAAAGTAATACAATACAAGTTAATTTTCAAAAATTATTATTTATAATATATAATATTTAAACTAATTCACTTCTGAAAACCACTATTAAGTTATGAGTTACTAGAAAGCAAAGGATAGGGTTAAAGAGTAAGGAACTAGAGTGCTGAAGAGTTGATATAGTATATATAAAATATAGGACTGATATAGTAAAAGAATGCAGCTTTACTGAATGCCCAAACTAGAACAAGTTTTGTTTGATCAAACTAGTTAAGATAGCTCATTTGAGCAGGGACCATGATAGCATTGGTAGAAAAAAGAAATAGATGCAATTTTACATTTATAGGAGAGTGGATCAAGCTTTGCAGATAAACCAGGTCCAATTACATTTACAATCTGCTTTCAGACCTTGTCTGACAATGAAAAGGTTGTTATTCGTCAAAATAGGAAAGTCAAACAACATTGTAATAAATAACTGAATTTTGTTGAAGTTCAAATCCACAAGTCACTATTTGCCCAAAGCTGTTACAGAAGAGAGATCAGATTAAATATTGGCTGCTTGTTCTAAACGATATGTAGGTTTGTCAAGTGTAAGTGACAACTTTCTACACATTAACTTAATACCCATAAATGACGTAAGTCATTTATGTGTATAAAGTTAAGTTGTCAGCTAATAAAACCACTTTATATCTAAGACTGTCAGCAAGACTTTTATGTAGATAAGAATCGAGCAAAGATAGAGTTGCTGGAATTAATAAGAAAAGTGTAGGCCTTCAAGAATGGTTTTAATATTGCAGTTAGAAAGAAAGATTAATCTTTAAATTTTATATGAAGAAACTAATACTAGAGAGAGGTCAGCATTTTTTCTAAATTTTTTAAATATTGGAGCACTTGAAGATTGATATTGAGACTCAGAAGATTCAGTAAATTGAGAATAACCAAGTTTAGCATCAGGCAAGACCTTTTTCATTAACTTCTTGCAATAATAAAAAGCCATTTGTTCTCAATAGAGATGCTTTTGTAAAAAAGAAGAAAAAAATGATAGCGGTTTAATATAGCAGTTGCACAAAAAACTGAAAAACATGGAGTAAAATGAGGCTTGATTTTAAACCAAAGAGAAGGAATAAAAGTTTCCATACTGTTTGGATTCAGGAAGTCATAGAATAGAGACACATTTATTAATACACAATATGGATATAAACATATATGTTTGCTGTTTATTTAGATGCTTGCATACAATATCTTTACATATTTGTATAAACTTTACTATTTACATGGTGTATTATTTGATTAAAGAGAAGATAACGATCAGATGGATGTGTTGTATGACTCCAACAAGACAAGAAAAGGAGCCATAATCTTAGACAGTGATTAGTAAAATGTATTGAAAAAAGTTTGTCAGAGAAGACTAAAGTGTTTTGGGTATCAGCATGTAAAGAGATAGGAGCTTCAGTAAAAAATGGTAGAGGTAGAAAACTTGGAGAAAGTGCCTTACATATGGTAAAAACAAGCTTTAGTTGAGAAAAAAAGCGCTCAAGGTTTTTTATATTAGAGGAAGGTTTGATGACGATGATAATAATTATGATAATTATCATGTGGATTATGATGATTTATACATATAAGTATATAAAAAATATTACATGAATTTCAAAATAAAAAAAATACTTTAGGATGTATTAATGTTTATGCAGCTCCAGTCACACTCCTGGTCCTGGCTATTTTTTATTCAAGCTGGCTCCTGTCCAATTTCAATCCTGATCATATATATACATACATATATAAGGAGCCCATTTGCAAAACGCGCTAATTCCAAGTAAACTGATTTTGAGAAAACAGCAAAAAACTAAACTAATTTTAGTTGCTCATCAACAGAAATTGATATTTTCTTTGTCCATTTTTAGAACCGAAATTTTTTTAATTGGTCTATTTTTTAAATAGATGATAGGTTTAAGTGTATAGAACGTGGAAATAGAATTTACTCAAAATATTTATTTTGTGCGTTTTGCAGATGGGCTCCTCATATATATATATATATATATATATATATATATGTATATATATATATATATATATATATATATATATATATATATATATATATATATATAATATATATATAATATATATAATATTATATATATATAATATATATATATAATATATATATATATAATATATATATATATATATATATATATATATATATATATATATATATATATATATATATATATATATATATATATATATATATATATATACTCTTGCATGGTAGTTAAAAAGAGTTTCCCATAAACTGTAGTTTTAAAGAGCGCGTTAATAAACCAGACCAGAAAAAGTTTTAAAACTTAAATTTTTTTTTTTTAATGATAGACTGCCTGCCCAAACCAAACCCTCAGTCGATGTAGCAGCACTCCCTTGTGAGTCAGGCTATTTGTCAGTCGATGTAGCAGCACTCCGTTGCGAGTCAGGCTATAAGATAGTCAATGTAGCAACATTTACGCATGTTTTAAAAATGTTTTTTAATAAAACAAAAACAAAAACACTACTAATTAAAAAAAACT